CGGCGCCCTGTCGCGAACATCGGCCAGTCTGAGGATAAATGCTATTTAGGTTTGTTTTCACCGAGTTACAAAATCAAAACTACTTTCTACTGGTAGTAGAATTTAACATTTAATGTCACATCGGCAATATTGCAGCCATATCATGACTAAAGCAGGGTCATACGTGAGTGAGTGAGTTAGAATTTAACGTCACCTCGGCAATATTTCAGCCATATAGTGACAGGTCATACGTTAACAATAGTTAATATTAAAGTAAAAACTCTGTCGACAAAGGACAGTAAAACAACTAGAATATCACACATTGAAATATTAAAACTAGCATTTAGTTAGAAATTATTTGACTTTTTGCGACAATACAATATGAAAACAGGTTATAATTATAGTATGACCAGAAATTATTGAGAATTTTAGGAATATGTTTAATTGGATTTCTAGTATAAACAACCTTGACCAGCCATTAAGTGCTTGGTTTCATTCAAGAGAGACAACTCCGTTCATCCTTTTTCATTAGTTTGTGACTTGTTATCCCCCTTTGTTTACTTGCTAGCAGACGACATTTTCAGTGATTCTCAGTATTGATGATTTAGAGAAGAGGAAGTTGATTTTGGAGGATAATAACAAGGACCTCAGATCAGCTAAAGTAGAACATAGAACAGGCATCCCTTTGTCAACTGTTTATTGCAAATGGATATGGCATTGAGCACCAGGAAGGCGCAGGTAGGCCCAGAAAATTGTTCTGTGTGGCTGTTTCCTAATACACTGAAATTCTGGACCAAACAAACTGAAAAACCTTTGTATCAGCGCCCAAAGTACAGTAAAAATTTAACGTGTGGGGTGGCATATCTGTGTTAGGGGCAACGCCCCTCTGTGTATTTAAAGGGAATATGAACAGTGAGCGGTACACAGATATTCTCGAGGGACATTTACTTCCATCTGCTCACGTGTTCTTTAGACATTTTTGGATTTTCCAGCAGGACAACGACTCAAACCATCGTTCAAAGCATTCACAGGCCTGGTTTTGGACCCAAAATATGACATTATTAGATTGGCCAAACTATAGCCCTGACCTAAATCCAATAAAAATGTTTGGGGACTTATGAAGGAAAGTGTCAATAAGAAAAATCTGACAAATATTGCTGAAATGAAAGAAGAGGTGGTCCGATATTGGCACAGCATGGACCACGACTTTCTAACTTCTTTGATCAGTAGTATGCCCCGCCGCATTGAAGCCTGCATTGATGCCTATGGTGACTTGACAAAATACTAACTGTTTACCTGTCTTTGAATCTGGAGTTATGTTCTGCTAATATTCACATTAAATGAGTAATGAGTGAAAAAAAAAATTAAAATTACAATCTTTAAATTCTCCATAATTTCTGGTTGTACTGTAGATCGCCAACAACTAAAGGTACATCACCATACTAGGGACCATGCAGACTTACAGTACTTTTGCTACCTGCACGGACCCTAGCTGAATTTCTAGGAAAACGAGATTTATATCCACGCTAAAGGATAAAAACTGTATGCAATCGATATTTCGCCAATCGAATGATTCGGCTGCCTTGAGTATCAAATGAGTGCCACAACGCTCGCTGTTATGTAACACAACATGGACCTTTTTGCCTAACTGAAAGTTCAAATTATACACTATTCTGTATTTCCCGTTCAGATGACCGTGATCTATCCTTGTATCGCTACCATGCTCCCCAACCACGTAAACCGCAGTGTGTAGTAGTAGCAATTTCTCCTCTGTCTTGTGTTAAACGTATAGGAACTGAGTTTGAAAACATTTTCAGAAGAATCATATTCTTCAAAAATAAATGCCCGAAGGTCCTTGATATGTTGAGAGTTGTCTCGAATACAAAGTTTGGAGATGATCAGTAAACCCTTCTCCAAATGTACCGAATACTTACACGCTCCAAACTGGATTATGGTTCCATCGTCTATGACGGAGCTTGTAAAAGCAACCTATCTATCCTAGATTCTATCCACCATCAAGGTCTGGGACTTTGTCTTGGATCCTCCTGAACTTCTCCCATTGACAGTCTTTTTACGTCGAGGCCGATGAGCCATATTTAATACATCGCCGTCTCAAATTATCTTTGCAGTGTGCAACAAAATATTATTGTAACGTGTCCAGCCCTGTCCAGCCCTGCCTCTGTGCTTTTAATCCTCTTTAAGATAATCTATATAAAAGATATTCTCTTATCCCACCCTTGGAATAAGAATAAAACCTTTCATTTCTGCTGCTAAAATTGAGCTAAATAATATATCTCCTTCCTCCTCCTTAACAACTAGTAAGTCCACAAGCCGATCTTGCATATGCTACTTATAAAAATCGGAAACAAATCAACTACAATACAGACAAGAATATGACCAATTACGAAGTAAATATAATACATGTATAAATCCTGATTTACAGATGGGTCCAAGGATGGAGGCGCAGTTGCTTGTGCCACTGTCATTGATCCAGAACAATATCTTCTAGATTACCTGATAGCAGCTCCATTTTTTAACAGCAGAGGCTATACTGCCATATTATCAGCTCTTAAATGTACCCAGAAACATTCTGAATATAAACAGTTCATAATATTTTCAGATTCTCTCCTGTCTTCAGGCTATATAAACGTGACTTCTTAAAATCCTCTTTTAATTGAAATTATTGAATTATTTAATGTTCTTGCTACTGGCCAATACAACATCGTCTTTTGCTGATTACCCAGTCATTTTGGAATCGTTGGCAACGCGATGGCTGATGCTGCACTTCTTATACCATACAGTGATTATAAACCTGTCGTTAGATGTTGCATACGGGATCTAATGCTGAAGAAGTGGGACACCCAAGTAGGTGTCAATGAACTACATGAAATTAAGCCAGCTATTAGTTACACCTCCACTAAATGCCAAAAGAAACGTTACCCTCCTTCCTTAATGATGGAGGTACCTATCTTCAGCTGGCGTTGTGATGCGTGGACGTCCACTACTTGGTCTGTCTACGGTGATATAACCGTATTACGGTGGCATCCTAGGGCGTTGGCAACAGCACTGTATGTCGACCCCATCTGCACCATCCCAATGGCTCTTTCTCTACCTTCAGCTGTTAATCTTGGCACATTTCTCGTACTTGTGTATCAGATCATGTCTTCTAGGTTCTCTTTATACCCTATAGAATCATTCAACATGTGAAATGGATGTAAATACTGCTTGAATATTGCGATTTGGTGATTGATATTTCTATGTGTAAACAGAAAATGGAAAAACGTAACTTTGCAAGCAAAAATGTTAACAAAGATAATTTTAGATGTTTCTTAACATTTTTTCACAATATCAAAGACACGTTTTACTTGTTTTCACTCATGCAGATCAACAGAAAATGTTTTAAAAGAATAGGAATGATTATTTTACAATTCTACATACTCAACAACAGTTGTTTCTTGTTTTAATAGTTGAAAAATGGTGACTTTAAATGGTTTATCATTGTCCCAAAGCAGAATTTTATTTCAACCTTTCTTTTGGACATCAAAATCACTATTATTGGTTTTTTCCGGCATGGACGAATATAGGACAATATAACTCTTCTGAAAAAGATGCATTTCACCAAAATATGAATGCATTTGAGAATTTGTTTTCGTGATTTGCATAAAGCTGTGTTGTTAAGCTTTCTTTGTAAACTATAACCTTTTAAAATATCTTTGATAGTTGTTCAGTAATTCATAAAGGTAGAAGGGTAACGTTTCTTTTTAGCGTCTAGTGTACTTGGGTTCTCAGTCCAGATTTGAGGTAGTAATTGTACGACGATGTCATATTGGCCATTCAAGATATACACATGAATATTAATTTTGTTTTACAGGTGAAAATCTACCATTTTGTAATCCCTGTGATGAACGAATCACGGTCAAGCATGTCCTGTTTGACTGTATTGATATTTCCATTACAAGGGATATTTATTTAAAGCTTCATCCTCGAAGGATATTTTAAATAACGTTAGTTTTAATTTAATTGTTAATTTTTAAAAGCAAATAGAATTGATTGACAAATTTTGATTGATTTGTTTTGTACATAGATATATGCTATTATCAATTGGTGAATTAAATTTGCAACTTATATTGTTAGTGGTTTTGTATCCTCGAAGTTGGTTGAAGTACCGTAAAATTATTGTCCTCCTGAGAGGGTATGTAAGACCACAACCTTCAAAGTAAATTTAAGGATTCCAAGGTTTTTAATCGTAGAATATATGTAATTTTTATTCATGGATAGCTTTGTCCATAATCGCTTACATCTGAGGGGATGGTGTAAATCCAGCTAGGGCCCATACAGGTAGCAAAATGTACTGTGAATCCCAATGGGCCCTTATATAGGCTGATCTTCCAGCTGGCGAATAATGTTTTTACGTTTAAAACAAATATTTCTAAACTGCTAGTTTTAATCTAAAGCTGCAATGATATTTTACTGTCCTATGCTGACAGGTTTGTCGTACCGGATTTTATCTAATTTGATCTGACTCACCTATTTACCAGTAACTCACTTAAATATAATACATAGAATACTTTTTCTAAGCACACATTTTAAATGTATCTCGCAAATGCGATGTTCTTACTCGACTGAGCAATGCTGTTTTGTTTTGTTTTATAATGGCAGGATTGAGAGCATGGTTCGGACATTAGATCAGATTATGTCGACTCCATCAACAGCTTCTGGACAGTCCTTCTATTGGCCGTGTGTTCTGTGGGATCATTCGCCATGCGTTACATCACTACACCCATCAGTTGTTGGTGCCCTGCTCAATTCGAACAGTCTCAGTACTCGTACACACAGGAATCGTGTTTTCTCAAGGGCTTGTATTATACGAAGTCAATGCCTGATGATTATGACGACGCAAAACTGCGGAACCTGTCCCCTCCTACCACCTCTGGATACCACTCATACTCTTCTTCCAAGCCCTCGCTTTCAAAATACCAAACATCATCTGGAACAGCAGCAAGCACTTGCTTACTTTCAATATGGAAGAAACCGTGGAGTCTTTGAAAAGTGTTCAACTGGCCAATGCTGATAATAGTCAGGCCATGTTCAGTAATGCAGTCCGAGTATTTGGGAGTCTGTTGAGAAGAAATCGAATCCTTCTGGCTCTTCTGTACCTGATTGTGAAGCTTCTCTCCTCTGTCAATCTGATAGTACAGTTTGTATTCCTAACAATACACTTCAGACAATACCTGGCAATCAGGGTTGGGTCCTATGTTGGTTTTGATATGGACTCCATCATAAACCCGTTGCTTGTAAAAGATGGTTATTGCGATGTTGTTATAAACCAATTGCACAATTCTCACAGGTATAGAATTCAGTGCACCTTGCCAATCACCGAAATCTATGAGAAGATGTTCACGATCTTGTGGTACTGGATCCTCCTCCTGGCTCTCATCACCATCCTTAACCTTGTCCTGTGGGCAGGATTTCTCTTCCTTCCATTCCTAAGAAATGGCAGGATAGCTGCCCATGTCACCGCTGCCAAAGGATCTCGCCCTGATGAACACTCTATAACTCGATTCATCAGCAATTTCCTGGGAATTGATGGAGTACTTGTCTTGTCCATGATCTCCTTGAATTCCAGCGAGCTGGTTTCAGCGGAGCTCACCCAACATTTGTACCAAGTGTTTCGGGAAAAGGAAGAGGAATTTAATGCTCAGCGAAATCTCTACACAGGAGAACTGGGAAGAGGTGCTGTCGTACCTGCAGCATCAGGAACTAATGCAGCTATACCAATGACTGACCTCGCCTCTGGTGACCCAAACTTGGAGAAAGTGCCAATGCTGTAATGACAAAACTGTCACCAAGCACTGGATTTGCTTTGGATTTGCTTAATCCAGAAGTGGCTTATTTTAACTAATTGCTAACTTGTTTGATGGTATGTCCTTGGTTATTTCACATAGTTGACCTCGCCAGCAAGATGTCAAAACGTTGACATTATTGTAACAACAATTCATTACCATTTTGTCATTTTTAAATCATTTCGGGAACATTGTCAGTCAAAACATTAGTTATACTGCCAAATTACTGTATATTCCTGTATTAGCATTTTAGCTGTCTTTTTTATATTTCAGGAGTCCGAACTAGAATGCGTAGTTGTAAATGTGAATAATATACACGTGCTGGTGGTGTCACAATTAATCAGTCTTTAGTGCAAGTGTATGAACGTTGTAGTGGTCGGGGCAAGGCCTTAAGCATAGGTATGTTTCTAAGTAATCACACAAGCTTAAGCATTCAAACATATATGGTAAAGATGGCTGATTCATAATCTGTTTCTAAAATGTGCAAACTCCTACACAAGCTCACTCAAGCGTTATCACGTGTTCGATACATTTATGGGTGAATATTTTACCAAAAGAACATCAGGGTTCTGTAAATGTGGACCCATATATATATACATAGTCATCACCTATCTAATTTAAACTGGAAGTATTCTTAAATATACGGAGACAAGATCTGTAATGAGGTTCAAAGGTTTCAATCAACAATGCACTGTACACTTGCTGTACTAAGTAAGGAGTGGATAATGGTAATCATCAAGACATATCTCTGATTAGATAACGTTGATTTATCATTTGCATCCCTAAGTATCCATACAGAACATATGTTCTGGACATGTTCTAGACATGCATGTTTTGAACTGGTTATATTTATTTCTGGGTTTGTATGGCACACAAATAAACCGATAAGCGATATCGAGGGGTATCTTGTGTTGTATACCTGGTGTGTGAACCTATGTACCCTGTGTGAGAACCTATGTACCCTGTATTTGAGTCTATGTACCTCGTGCCACACTGTATACCAAGAGGTATCGGATGACATCAATTTATCTTACAGGCATGCGTTCATACAAATCTGCAATATATGTCTTCAGTTTCACCAAGTTCGCCTTTTTATGCACACTATCCAAGACAATTGACTGTATGGAATACATTAGTTCCTTAGAGAAACCCCAAGGTTCTGATACGGTAGACATTTCGAGATTCTTCCTCGAGATTAGCAGATTACCCAAAATGTGTTTCCACTAATTTCATTTCAAATTTGTACTTCATTTGGAACGGGCAGCATGAAAGTTAGTTGTCCGCTTTTTACGCACCAGACGCTGATATTGTAATACAAAATTATAATGTATTCATTATTAAAAACAAAACAAAGACAGGAAATAACATGTGAGCTTTGAGTCAGCAACAATTATTCAATACAATACAATGATAAAGATCTCTGGAATGCATTTCCCTGCATAAATGATCCATATTACGGGAAACCGGAGAGATCGAAGTTCTCCTGTCCTGAAATGTCAGTACTGATAATTTGCTACAATTACCGCTCCTACAAAGACATTAATTGGACGTAATAAGGTGTCCTCCCATTTGTGAGAACTGTAAGTTGTGAAACACATTAATTAATGGTTCCACATCCCTACAATGAAAGTGGGATCAGCCCAGCCCGCTACCCACAGGAGGCATAGTTCATTGATGAGTTGATTAATGAAATAGATTATCAAAGATTATATTTACACAGAAGAAATAGATCAGTGAATATTTTATTTATTCAGAAGAATATGTAATTATGATAACACATTTTTATTGACTGGTATGAAGTTTGAAAGTCATTTTGGTTTAAACATATTTTATTATTATTTATGAAAATGAATTGGGATTGGTGAAGTATTACTGCTTATGGTAACACCGCTCCCATGCAACATAAAATATAAAATGAAATGAAGATGTGTCTTCCATCGATATTGACTATTGGATAAATATATTTTTAAGTACATATAAATATATACAGATTACATCAAATACAACTATTCTCTAAGTAGTCATAATTAGAGACTTACAGTTGTGTGTGTCTAACAATCTACTGTAGGAATATAAATCAATCACGAGAAGGTTGTTGAGTTAATTTCAGTATTTCCCTGTGAAAATTTGAAGGTTGTGTTTTGATGATATAATCATGGACGGATTCAACTATTTTCTGGTTTACACAAGGAGGAAATTCTTTGTTTCCGTTCAAAAAATTATCCAGGTTATAACGGGTAGTTGATATCCACAAGAACAACATGGACTGTCTATTTAATGTCTGTTATACATATCGGCGATTGGGTCGCTAGATCCGAGCCTGAGGCGGCACTGAACGATTTGACAAAAACAAGAGCCATAATTAAGATCAATATAAATCTTGTTTTCGATTTTTGTAATTAGGTTTTAAAATTCTTTGAGACTGCATGACTCTTTGCAATTTGGTAGGGCATTCCATAAATTTATTGTGTCGGGTAGAGGGGTTTGGCATAAGGGGCATTTCGACTGTAAATTTCAGAGTTATTTCAGAGTTACTTCTTAAACTATAGCTTGTAGTTTCGGAGACGGAGTAATCTGAGTAGGTAAATTAATTTCTCTTTGATCACAAAGTGTTTAATTATTAAAGACATTTACCTGAGTAATGTTAATCAATTTATCTTATAAAGTTTCATTAAGCTACCTCCACAAAGAAGTCAGTTACATAGCAAATCAGTAATTAGCTAGGTTGAATCCATTCCATCAGACAGGGGAGTATGGTGCGTTTTCGTTGTTAAATACCGACTCCAATGTGTCTCATTTAACTGGGAGTCTCACAACTGGGAGTTCTCTACAAATGGGAGTAGACAACGTAATAATGTTTGCATAGAGAGATATCGAAAATATCGAAAATATTTCATCTTTGTGATGTTCTTTTGTTTGAAACGCGGTGTTCTTTACGAATGCAACTCTTCATCAGTGTACATTATTACAAGATAATATATATTGAACAAGAGTTGAACTTGTTTTCGTAGTTTCAAATGTGAATGGTCGACTCACAATTTCTTAAGTGTACTTTGTTGATGCTCTCTCAACGCATTGTGTTTGTGTCACAATTAATCGTTTTTATTGCCACATAATGAACGTTGTAGTGGTCGGGACATGCCTGTTTCATACTTATCACTGAAGCCTCACAAATGGACTCCTGAAATTTAAATATATATATTAAGATGCTGAACCACAATTCATAATCTGAAGTTTGATATTTACCGTACTTTCCGGAGGGAAGTATGTATACTAGCCCATGTCAGCCAGGCGAGAATTTTACGAATGTCAGTTTCTATATTTTCAGGAACAACTACCTAACTTGGGACTTATTCATTTAACATCAGTACTGGGTCCCATGTCATCGTGCTCATTGATTATCACCTACAGGACCATTTATCCCTGAATTAATTCCTGGCTTCGGTTGCTAATTGTCATTACCTATCAGCGCCAATTACGTTCCTGAAAGGTAGTTTCTGCTATATCCACATTCATTACGTATTGACTTTGAACTGGAATTATTCCCAGCAATAAACAAAGACAAACATTTGTAATGAGATTCAAAGACTTAAATTAACAATCCACTCTACATATGTATTTAGTGAAGTATAACAGGAGGGGACTATAGGAATGATCAAGACATATCTTCTGATTAAATAATGTTGATTTATCATTTATGTGCCTAAGTTTTCATACAGAACGTACCATGTTAATGTTGAGTAGCAAACATTGTCCATTTGGGCAGACCGATTCATATCCTACGATACAACAACGCCGAGATGTTCCTTAGTATTCGAAATGATAAAGAGAAGCATCATGGTAGACCAAATTAGGTTCTTATACCTGGAACGTCGTGCCTTCATACATTATATGATATTTAGCCAGGTTCACTAGTTGTAAGTCAAGTCTCTGAAATGAACGTTTTTACAGAAAAAGAAACCTAATTTATCTTCATAATACATTGCAAAAAGGAGCTCGGGGAACGGGCTGCATGGAAAATACATGCCCGCTCCTTTACCGATCAGACGCTAATGTTTTAATAGAGGGTAACATGGCTCTCATTTTTACAAAAGCAGAATATAGCATGACATCTATAAGTCAGACATGTTGTTGTTAAAGATCACTCGATTCCATTTTCCCAACATAACGGTCCGTGTTAGAGAAACCAGGGAGGTCAAGAGTACTCCTGTCCTGAAATGCTACAATTACCGTTCCTACGGAGAGATTAATTGGACGTAATAATGTTTGCATGGCGAGACCAAACCCTTGACTCACGTTCTGAAGTCATTTCTAACAACTATAACGCGACAGAGCGTTGAATATCGCCAGTACTGTTGACGTCTGTAGTTGGATGTGAAGCAAACCGTCTGTACTGTTACCCTGGGAGAAGACTCAAAACAGGCTAATTTCACACACACACCTCAGGAACAGGACCCCTTCACTTCATCATTGTAAGTATAGGTGTTGTAATGCTGCGTTATTTCGACTTAATCGTGTAGACTTGCTTCCATTTCTTAACAACTCTTGGTTGAATATTCCTCCTCTGGGGATACGTAAGTACTTAAACATTCAAGGTAAAATAAACTTACCGAATTTTTAAAACGCATTTTTTTGTGTTCTAAGACATGGCTAAAGTTAACGACAATCACTAACGGCTGAGGGGATGATATAGATCCGTCTAGGGTCCATGCAGGTAGCAAAGGCACTGTAAGTCCCCATGGTCTATGGTATGGTGATCAACCTTCAGTTGCTGGTCATCTATAGCCCGTTTTCATATTGTATTGTCTTGCATTATAGTATTTATCTGTAAATCGTATGCTGACATTAGACAGAAATATATACCAGAGTATTATCTATCAAAAACCACTTTTAATTTAGTATTATGGTCTTGCAATGAACAAAATATTAGAAATCTGTCATTGTTTATAAAACAATACAGTAAGTTAAGAGCTGAATTGCTGAAAAAT